GAGAAAACACCCCGTACCCTGGCAAACTTACTGCCAGGACAGGCGGGAACAGAGCAGGAGCTGTGCGAGTCAGCATTGTGCCGGCTCTTCAAGTGGATGCTTTCCAGGCAGGGTGGTGGCCAGCTGATTTTGGAAGCTGATACTGCCACCACAGGGAAATTAAAAACCCCGCCGGAAGCTGGGAGGAGGGAGCAGGAAGTCAGCTGGGAGCATGCTGGGCAGGCGGTGGCTCCAGAGGCTGGTTGTGGTGGCCTAGAAGACACTGCTCCGCAGCAAAGGAGGGGAAGCACTGTTGGGCATTAGGCTGGGGACAGACAATCCCCAGCCCCACAATTTTGAAGCTTTATAGAGGCATCTCTCTTGAGGGGAGGACGCCTGGGGCTCAGCCCCTTGGGATCAGGTACTGAGGCTCCAGAGGTATCAACATCCAGGTGATGGGCCGGGTTGCTGACACTGATGCTGGACTCCATAGTAAAGGGGCTTACGGAGATTGTCAAAGCAACGAGTGGAATACCTGAGAGCTTGGTGAGTGGACAGGTTGTAGGGGAGGCGGAGCCCTGAGGAACACCGTGGCACACTTGTGAGTACCCTGTCTTCAGGTTGATAGGGGAAGAGAACACCTCTGAACCCCCTTCTTCTCTTCACATACCAACAAGTTGTGGTAGGAGAGTTGGGGGACTCTGACCTAGGGGGTGGTGTTGTACTCACAGCACCTACTAGAAGCGTGACAATGTTATATATCAAACTACACCATGTGTGCTGGAGACCTGTCCACCCTGAGGGTACATACAGATGTTTGGGAAGTTTAGATTGAATTTAAAATGGCCAACTGAGCTAACTTAGTTCTCCCAGGTGCAGACCTTACATTTAGATCACTAGTTAGGTTGATCTAAGTATGAACTCCACAGAAGTTTAGGGAGGTTGGATTGGTATAAAAATGGCTGACCTGATCAAAGCTTACTGTACCTCCGACATAGTCTAACTTGGATCTGGTATGATGAGATAAATCTAATTGAACTTATGTACAATTCTCAGCAAAGCCCCAGGGCTGAGAGAGCCCAGCCACTGGCCCCAGCCCTGGGGCTGTGCTTTTCCTACCCCCACCCCAAGCACTGTGCTATTTTTAACCCCTTGGCTCCTTAGCCCACACTCAAACAAACACCCCCACTCCCTGCAGACCAGCTAGCCCACCTCCAAGCCCACCATACTCCCCATCTCACAAGCTGCTCCTGGTGCTGGTTTTATAAGCATTTGCTGGTACTGAGAGCTGAGGAAGTAATTTGGGTGAGGGGAACAGTGGTTGGGATGGGGTGAGGCGTTGGCAGCATGGGGGCATGGCTTGGGGCTTGGTGGGGTTAAAAATAGCCCCTGGCTGTGGGGAAGGGTGGGGAGAGAACCCCCAACCCACCCCACTGCAGATTCTACCAGTCCCCCATGAACGCTGCTTGTCCCCCTGATCCCTCCATTAGCCCCTTCCCCATCCTGATTTAACCTAGATTGCCTTATTTTTAACTTGATCTAACCTCCCTGAATGTCTGTACAGGCAACCCCAACTTAATGCTGTTTCGTTTAGCACTTGTTTTTTCAGGAACCAATTAAGAGCACTAAATTGGGGTTGCCAGTACATATTCTGAGAGAGTATATATGTAATATATATATTGGGCTTGACTTCAGGGCAGTAAAAACAACTGAGAACTATGGATCAACACCCTTCTAATTGGTGAGTCTTTCTGATAGCAATCTGATCAGTAAGAGGAACAGAGGAATCCAAACTGCTCAGGGCTTTAAAATATACTTTCTAACTCTTGCACTTGCTACCAAA